CCAATGAACTGAAATAATTCTCTCGAATGGCTACTGGAAGTCCTCGTTCTGATGAGATTGGGGCAGTCAAAGTCACTCATTATGAAGACATGGATCAACTTTAGTGATAATGCATTTATCATGGACTGCAACAAAATCTCGTTGGCTGAGTCTGAAGATGCGGGAGGTCGGTACACAACACCGATTAGAGATCTATCGTTTTTGTAGAATCTCACTGAACATGAAAACGAATCGGGGGCTGCGTCGGGAATACCAAGCTGTTCACACTGTAAATTTTTTCGATGAAAAAGCAGCACTCCACCGCCTCGTGTAGGACGATCATGTCTGAGCAATGACATTCTTGATAGACCTAGTTCCGAGTCGAGAATATCGGTGGTCAGCTAGGTTTTAGTAACGGTAACAATGTCAAATCGATTAGTTTTCCAAAGAAGTTCCATCTCGGAGAATTTGCTAAGGTAACCTCGTGTATTGGTATAAAAAGATATCTTCGACAAGGAAATCTATTTGGGTATGTGGTGTTGTCTCTGCCGACCAACTTGGAGTCGGCTAACATTGTTTTTTTTGTATAATTGGTTTCGTCGGTGCTGCTTGATGAACGTAGAGTGATAAAAACTGCACTAGTCGAGGAAGATGGTGTGTCAGTATCGGTTTCCGCTTTCCGACTTTGCTGGGATCCAGTATTATGTGATGGTCTTAGGCGTAACTCCGGCGGACCCTTTTTTATATTTTCCTTGCACGACTGCAATACGAAGTTGGCCATTTCTGGTGTTTCGAGGGTCACTCATTATCCTCGGGCCGTTCCCGCGGTAGTTCGGTGAGCTGGGTAGACGACTAATTGCCGTAGTAAGAATCTGGGTACAATTAATTAGTTCTCGAATGAAACTCCATTCCTTGCAATCGTTTTGTTGGCATAGGGATTCGTCTGAATCGTCCAATTGAGGGACTCCATGAATGAGAACAACCCGTTTGTTCTCCGATTGCCGTGCGTTTGTTGGGTTAGTGCGGTATCGTGTACGTTCCGTCCAGGGCCTATCTAGAAGTATTCTTATTCTGCACCCGTTACTTTTATCTCCGTATTACAAACCACTGTTGCACAGAATGTCATGGGTCACTTCGAAAAACACAACGTACTATCCCCATTGCAACATGGGTTACGTCTCAAACGATCATGTAATCCCTACTTTGTTCCAAGTCAGAGAAAACTGTACAAAAGTGGTTATACATAGTGATGCACTGGACTTGCGTACCTCGACATCTCCAGGACACTCAACTATGTGAGCTACAATATATATATATATATATATATATATATATATATACCAAGCAAGCAAACCAGGTACCAACGCAACACAAGA